CATCAGCTATCAGTACAATGTTCTTTTTGCCCGCCCTCAGTCTAGTAAGTAACACCTGGAATGTAAGCTATGTCCACAGCTGCTTGCTACTGGGCTGGAAACTGTAATCTTGCAAAAGGCTCAAATTCACCAAAATTTACCCGCCTCTTCACTGAGTTCTCCCACGTGCTGAACCTCTTCTACTAAGCTCCAGAGTTCTAAAATAGTAACTTTAGACAGTTCCTGTCAGTTCAATAGTTGTTTATGTGGAGGGATAGATTCTTAGTTTCCTACTCTGCTATATTCCTTGACATCACTCTCTACATTATGTTTTGTTTATATGATTTAACTCCCAGAGGGTAAACCTATTTCTTTCTAACTTTCGGGACGGCACTTCAACTTTGTTTCTGTCTTCCAACCATAGCAGAGCCCCTGGCCAGATTCTCTCACTTGTCCTCTACGTTCAAGGCAGAGTCCAAAGCAGAGCTGTCTTACAATTCTGAGAAGACAGCTCCTGAGAGAGCTCTTTTCTTTTTCCTGCCCAGTCCTGTAACAGAAAAGCTGAAATATCAGGAAAATTCATGCACATATAGGGATATTACTTGTCTCATTTTTTCTTCCTCCCTTTCTGCCTCCCTCCTTTCCCTTTTTTACTCTGTATTTCCCACATATTTTTTGAGCAACCAACTCTTTGATGGATGCTGGGGAGATGGTGTTAAAAGAATGATAGGTCCTTGTTCTTAATGAGCTATTAGTTGAGTGAGAGAGGCAGATGAATAATTCCAGTATTCTTGGTGAGGTTTGAAAGAGGTGGAAAAAAGACACTGAGGGAGCTGAGAGAGGGAATGCCTAAATGAGTTTGAGGGAAAAGCAGGAAGAAAAATGGGAAACTTCACAAATGAAGAAGTACTTGAGGAAGTTAGTCAGGTAGGAACCTCTCCCAGAGCATTAGCAAGTCCAAATACTTGGAGAGTGAGAATATGGACAGTTGGGGAGCTAGAAAGTAATTTTGGTGTAAGGTGTATGGGGGAGGGTCAGGAGATGAGGTGAGAGGTAGGTGGGGGGCAAGAGCATGTAGGAGTTGAATTTTATTTTGCAGTGACTGTAGTATCATGGGATTGTCAGTAGTGGTGGCATGATCGGATTTGTTTTAAAATAATTAATCTGGTGTGAGGCACGTGGATGGCTTAGTTGGTTAAGTGTCCGACTCTTGATTTTGGCTCAACTCAGGATCTAAGGATCATGGGATTGAGCCCCACGATGAGTTCTGCACTCTGTGGAGTCTGCTGGAGGTTCCCTCTCTCCCTTTCTTTCTCCCTCTGTTCCCTCTGCTCATTCACTCCCTCTTTCTAAAATAAATAAATCTTAAAAAAAAAGAAAAATTTGGAGTGAAGGCAGATTTGAAAGACGTCAACAACAGTAATTTAACACAATTTGCTCCCATGCATTTTATGTATGTCTCATTTAATCCTAACACACTATTACATTGGAATTCTAATCATTCCCACTTTTTAGATGAGGAAATGGGCACATAAAATTTAAATACTTCGCCAAAGATTAGGGAGTTGTTAAGTGATGGAGTTGAGATTGAATCCAGTGGTCTAACACTAGTGTGGATGCTTAATCACTGTCCTGTTAGTGGGGGCCAGCCCTGGAGGGCACCAGCATTCTGTTGTGGTGATCTAAGGGCCTGAACTAAGGCAGTGGCAATGGGGCTGGAAGGTGGAGAAGTCTGGGAGATTTTGAGGAAGTAGAATTGAGAGGGTTTCATTCAATATGGAGGAATAAAGGAGTAAGTAAGAGTCTAGGATAACTGCTTTGTTCCTGGTTTGGCTCTCTATTGAGAGACACTCACTGAAAAAAAGGAGCACATATGAAGAAGCAAGGTTTCGGAAAAGAACGGGGAGATGATCAGGTCAGTTTTGGACAGGTTGAGCCAACAAAATGGAGACATCCAGAAGGTGATGGGGCCAGGAATTCAGAGGAGGGAACAGAAGCCAGAGGTGTGCATGAGATCCCTAAGGGAGTGGACAAGAAGAAAAGAGGTGGAGGCAGGGCTCAGGAAAGGACAACTGCCACCCTCCTGCCTTCGAGATAAGCAGAGGAATACAAGGTAACCACCAAAATATTAGCGGACTCAATGATCATTTATTCAATAAAATCACAGGAAAGGAAAGGACTGAAGATTGAGTTCAGATTAGGAAGAGCAGCTGCTTTCACGGTGACTCTTTTCACAGTCCTGAGAGGAGACACTAGCAAACCCAGTTTGCTTATTTGATACAAATATTTCATCCATGTTCTTTTCAAATGGGATCAACTTGTTTGCAGCAATCATACAATAATGATGAAAATGAATTATTCATTTTTTGGACTTTTCTCAGTTGTAGAATATTTCCTTTTGTCTTGGAAAAATTGAACTGTCTCCTCAATCCCATCCCCGAAAACTCGTTTTAAGAAAGTCTACTCCTCTGTTCTCTAACACTGCTTTATTGTTAAAAATGTTATATTTAAAAAGTTTTCTGGTTAGAGGCACCTGGATGACTCTGCTTTGGGCTCAGGTTGTGATCCTAGTCCGGGATGGAGTCCCATGTCAGGCTCCTTACTCAGTGGGGAGTCTGCTTCTCCCTCTTTCCTTTCCCCTACTCGTGGTCTCTCAAATAAATGAACAACTGAATAAAATCTTTTTAAAAAAGATTTTATTTATTTGACAGAGAGAGATCACAAGTAGGCAGAGAGGCAGGCAGAGAGAGAGGGGGAAGCAGGCTCCCCACTGAGCAGAGAGCCCGATGTGGGGTTCCATCCCAGGATCCTGAGATCATGACCTGAGCCAAAGGCAGAGGCCCAACCCACTGAGCCACCCAGGCACCCCAACAAATGAATAAAATCTTAAAATAAAGTTTCCTGGTTAATTTTCAGTCTCTACTTTTAGACTATATGTTCTATGACAACAGTGACCATTTATTTTAATTCACCATTTTGTTTGGCAACCTAGAAGGTTCTTGTTTGCATACTTATTGACTGACGTTAAAAGCCACCCTTCCCTCACTATTTCTTTCCCACTCCTTGCCTTTCTCCTTCTCTGTCCCTTTCTCCTTTTCCTTCCTTTATAAAGATATTTGTTGGATGACTTCTATAAGCCAGGTAGATTTAAAATCTTAAAATTTTGTATATATTGTCTTTAACATATATTTTATATAAGTTATTAAATTTTATAAATTACATAAATTTTATATTTTAATGTATATATAAAATATAAATCATATATAACATATAAACATAAAATTACATAAAATTTTATATAAAATATATAGATGACTAAGGCACTGTTCCTAATCCTGACTTAACAGTTTAGCAGAGACATATTTGATATGTAATCAGAAAGTGGATTTCTAAAGCTTTGCCACAACGACAGGAGAGTGAAAAGCATTGCCATCAGGAGAAGCTGGTGTGTGTAAAGGCTTGGAGGTAGGGAAACATGGAAATGAAAAGCATGGGTGTATGTGGGGAAGGGCCAGAAGTCTTACAGGGCTGGAGCACAGTATTCATGGGATGCTGTGCAAAGTGGGCAGAGGGAGCCAGTGCCAGGCAGAAGCTGGAAAAATTGACACCGTGAAAACACTAGAAACTATTCTAGGTTTTGACTTTTATACCCCTAATCTTTACCCATAAGGACAGCTGGGCAGTCAGGTAGGAGAGAGTCAGATAGAATTTTTATGGCTATTGACTGAGGATGCAAATCCTCTGTTTACACTACTTATCTTTTCTCGTGGTTTGGTTTTACAGTAAAGAAATACAAAAATTAGTTATTTCTAGAATAATGAGAACAAGTTTGTTTCCTAATCAGCAGCAAAATTAATTTTTTTATAATAATTGGACAAAAGCTTTTACCACTTGTCGTTCTTCAGCATTAATTGTACAAGAGTCTTCCATGTAGCAGCTGTCAGGGAGCGGTTTCTCTTGTCCCATTAATCAATTAGTTAATTACCAGTGTTAAGCTCCCTGATTGTTAATTTATTCAATAGGTTATGACCCATTAGTGGCATTAATTACTTTGATACTCAAATTGTACCAGATTTGGCCAGAGAGAGCCCCTTGAAGTTGGCTCTTGTCCTTTTGATAAGTCCTCATTTTTTTTGAGTACTTCTTTACTTTCAGGCTCATCTTGTACTTTTCCTGCTCCAGTCTCAGAATCAGCCATTTAATAAGAAATGGAATGTGTTTTAAATATTTGCAATATTCTTGTTTGAGTAGCATATTTTTATTTTTATTTATTTTAAAAAAGGTTTTATTTATTTATTTGACAGAGATCACAAGTAGGCAGAGAGGCAGGCAGAGAGAGAGAAGGAAGCAGGCTCCCTGCTGAGCAGAGAGCCCGATGCGGGACTCGATCCGAGGACCCTGAGATCATGACCTGAGCCGAAAGCAGAGGCTTAACCCACTGAGCCACCCACGTGCCCGAGAAGCATATTTTTAAAAAATAATTTTCACTTACTGTGTTAAAAGTGCCATTTTATTAACAGCATTTTATATTTAATGCCAATTAATTTTTAGTGCCATTTTAAACATTTACCTACCACCCAATATATCCCATGAGACCCAGATCTTGCGATCAAGATTCCCCAATCACAGTAGTTTATTTGTTTGCCTTTATTTATTTTTTTAAGTAGGCTCCAAGCTCAGTGTGGAGCCCAACATGGGCCTTGAACTTATGGCCCCGAGAGCAAGACCTGAGCTGAGATCAACAGTCGGATATTCGACCAACTGAGCTACCCAGGTGGCCCACTACTTTTTTTTTTAAATTTTATTTTTAAGTAATCTCTACACCTACTGTGGGGCTCAAACCCACAACCCCAAGATCAAGAGTTGCATGCTCCACCAACTGAGCCAGTCAGGCACCCCACCAGTTACACTGGTTTTTAAGAACATACACCAATGAGGTGGTCAAGGTTGTCAATACTAATGAGAGAATTTACAATTATAAAAAAAAGCTTTAAAAAACACATGTAATTTTTGTATCTGAGTAAATATTTTATTTCTACATAAGATATTGACATTTACACATTTAAAAGACAACTAATATACAGCTAACTGTAATAAAATACACAAGAAGCTTATGAGATATGAGAACACAGATAAGAAAACCCGAGAAATTTTTAATTTAATTTGCCCTACTGGGAACATCAGGACTCCTGGACTTGATATTGACCTTATGTACCAAGTATTTTTTTCTGTAAGTACTAAGTTGACACCCTTCCAAAGAGCACGTTGTACTACTGTGTCTAAGAAATCAGTGAATAATTAGGTTTTCCGTCTTATCAAAGTACAAAGCATTGCTTCAATTCTAGGCCTTCTGACAGAATCCAGTATCTACTTTCACTAAGTTCTTTAACAAAATTTTATTAAGAAACTATTGATTCAGAAATACAAGGCATCTTTATATTACAAAGAAAATCAAGAAGACAAATTCTAGTATTTTAGACAAATTCCCAATTCTGACATCTGGCGCAATAGGATTCCCAGATTATCTTTTTCTAAAAGAGATTTCGTCCAGCTTGTTTCCAGACTTCTTTTACTCCTTTAATGCTCTCTCTTTTTACACATTTCCAGTATTCTTGTACACTTTGTTGTTGTGGTACCTGTTAACCAGAAGTAAAAGTAGAGATCATTCTCTTCAGTGTTAAACATGATTTCACATGAGCTCTGTTATTATTTCCCGCATGCCTCCAAAAAGTACTTGAGGTGGATTATGTTGTAAAAAATAAGTGCAACAACAGGACAGGACAGGACAAAAGTACAACAGGACAAAAGACAAAAAAGTGAATGTGATGTAGGAATATCCTCGGGGGAACTAGGGAATGGAGGCTGACTAAACATACCCGATTGGAGCTTCCTCCTTAAGAAGATAATGAAGACTTTGGGTGATCTTCTTTCACATATTGGTTTAAAATGTAATCATTTCATAATACTTAATAATATTTTATGTTTCCCTTTTTATGGTGAACTTCATTTAGCTATGTGGAATAAAAATTAAAAGCCTAAAACTTTGATTTAACCTTGCTGAAGTTAAAATGAAACAATATATTTGATACAAACCCTTAAGAAGAAATAATATAATTCACCTAAGTGCTCTGTGAATTAAAAAGTTCTGTATGGGTATTATTTCTCTCAGTTAAACAAGAAAGTAAAGGTTAGAAAACATTTGTATCCTGGTCACCACAAGAGCATAGCATTACAGGAAATCTGTCAAATGGAAGCAAAAGTTTACTTTAGATTATTTTATATATATATATATATACATATATATATATATATATACACACACACATATATATATATAAATATAAAAAAATCAGAAAAAATTTATTTTTTTCTGATCAATTTACAGGTCTTCTATTTAATGTCTCTTGAGAAATGGCAAAGGGGTTCCTTAGTATATTAAACTGTTAACTGCAAAGGCTGGTTTAATTTCCAGGGGTATGATCATTAACTATGAGGTACTGTATGACTACAAAGCTTATAAAACATGTTTGCTAACAGAAATTATATTTGCTCATTTTTCCACAAATGTTTGTGAGAGGAAAACAAAGGTGTTTTGAGTTGTAAATAAACAGATTTGTTTATGAACCTACCATATTCTCTCCCTCATTTTCCTTTCTTCTGGCCTAACGACCTACTTATCACATAGTTCTCTTTCCACTGTTGTTTTCAATCTGCAGACTGCTTTAAACAAAATTTTGAGCTTTATTTGTCCCACAGACCAATATATGAATTTGAGTGGCTAACATTTACTTCAAGTGTCTCAGGCACTATACTAAGTATTTTATACTTAATTCTCACAAAAATTTTTTTCTGGTAAATTCTGTTAGTTTCCTCATTCTACACAGATGAGGAATGTGAGGCTCTGAAAAATTAAGTGGCTTTGCAAGATTAGGCAGTTCATAAGTGACAGAGTTGGGATTCGAATTTAGGTGTGTTCAACTACAGAGCCCAAAGCAAAATTCTAGCCCACGATTTCTGAATAGTGGTTTCTGATTAGACTCAAATTAAAAAAAAAAAAAAAAAAAAAAAAAGAAGGCAAAGAAAAATACTGGATCCCATCTGTAGGAGATATCTCAGTGTTGTGTTCATAGCTTATAATCTCTTTATAAATGATAAAACCTCCATTTAAGACTATAGGTTCGTCTAAATTCTAGGCGAAATACCATTCATTTAATTACATGTAAACATGTAATTATTTAAAAACTCAAAATTTTTACCCATAAACCTCGATGCATCCTGTTTTTTAAAACCCCGAGAAACTCTCCATGACTAAGACATTCATCACCATCCACATCAAAGATCTTGAAGACGGTGTCCAAAATATTGTTGGAGAGCTCCTGTCCTGTTGCTACTTTCACGGCCCTCTTAAACTCCGCTGAAAGCAAACATAAAAGAACTCATCAAACATGTGAAATAGTCTAAGTGGAATTAATCCAAATTTTATTATTTGAGAAGCAAAAAACAAAACAAAACAAAACCCTAAAATTATTCATTAATGGGAAGTAAAACAAAACCAAAAATACTCAGTAAGAACATACTGAAATAACAAATTTGGTTGAGAAATGTCATGAAAGTAACTGAAAGAGAAGGCTATTTTAATTTTAAAAATTTTATTATTTATTTTTAAAGATTTTATTTATTTATTTGACAGAGAGAGAGTGAGCACAAGTAGGCAGAGTGGCAGAGAATGAGAGAGGGAGAAGCAGGCTCTCCACTGTGCAGGGAGTCCAACTCAGGGCTCCATCCCCAGGACCCTGGAATCATGACCTGAGTTGAAGACAGACACTTAACTGACTGAGCCACCGAGGTGCCCCTTAATTGATGTTTTAAAGAAGGTACTTAAATATTCCCTTTTCCTTCTTAGGGGAAAATAAGGAAAGTAAAAGCAAATAAAGTAATAGTTAAATGTGAGAGTCAATGTTGTAAGTCTAGAGTAACCACAATGAATTAAAAGACAAATCAACTCTTTTATTGATAAATGGCTCCCTGATTGGTATGTTCTAGTTGAAGAAGAGACTGATACTGTTTATAGATGATAAAAATTAAATTAAGTCACGTAACTTACCCAATCTGACAGGACGATGAGCTAAACTGAACATCTGCATAGCAATAGCAAAGTCTTCCAAGTGAGTTGTAAAATGACAAAATGATTTGAACTCATCCAAACTAATACTCTAATAAAATAACAAAAGTGAATTTTAATTACAATTTTGTAAATACATTAAATAATCTTAGCATATAAGCCTAAGTCCTGTTTCTATAATAACGCTTATGAACTTTTATAGCTTTCTAAGAAAGTCTATTGAAGAGAATGGGCACACAGTGAATGGTTGTGTAGACTGCACAGTGGGTGAAAGGTCTCCTGGAGCAGGGCAAGACCTGGAGTGACCCTGTGGTACAGACTGGATTCTGTCTTCTCAAAACTCATAGGTTGAACCCTAACACCCAACATGATTGTATTTGGAGACAGGGTTGTTAGGGAGGCAATGAAGGTTAAATGAAGTCATAAGGATAGAACCCTAATCTGATAAGGACTAGTGTCCCAATAAAATGAGGAAGAGACACCAGAGCTTTCTCACTCTGGGTATAAGCACAGAGGATAGGCCATGTGAGGACACAGTGAGAAGGCAGTGGTCTGCAAAGTGGGAGGAGAGACTTCACCCAAAACCAACTTGCCAGCACCTGATCTTGGACTTCCAGGCTCCAGAATGTGAGAAAATAAATTTGTTGTTTAAACCATCCAGGCTGTAGTATTTTGTTATAGCAGCCTAAGGAAACTAATACATTCTGTTAAGTGGTCCGCCTCCTTCCTTTTCTGCTTTATCAATGGACACAGCACTGAGTAAGAGCACTGGGTTTTGGAGTTAGAGGAACCAATGTTGAAACTTCAGTTCTGCCATTTACTATGTGCATGGTCTTACCCTCTCTGAGCCTTAGGTAAGTAACCTTTCAGGAATTAAGTAATTTGTTCAACGTCTACTAAATGGAACACTGGGATTTGAACCTTGATTCATCTGACTTTAAAATCTATGCACATAAAAACAAAACAAAAAATAAGTTAGAAAAACTAGTTTTTCTGTTGAAAAAGTAAACAAAGTATGAAAATTCTTAATTTGAAAATAAATTCTTCCCTGCCTGAAAACATTTCTCTTTGTAAGGACCTTCAGGATCATGTCCTCTGTTTATCTGTGGTCTTATTCAGGTTTCACTGAGGAATTTTTACTTTTAAAATTTTAAGTAAGTTTTTGAAGACGTAACATATACACATGGTAAAAAAAAAAAATTAACAATATTATAGATAAAAAATAAAGTTTTCTTTCTTCCTTTGACCTTCAGTTCCCTTCCCCACAGGCGAAGCACTGTTACCAATTCTTTGTGTGCCCTTCCAGAAATATTCTACTCATATAAAAGAACACACACACACACACACACACACACCCGTTTTACACAACAGAAGCATCCTCTTTGCCTATTTCTATACCTTGTTTTATACTTAAAAAAAAAAAGATTTATTTATTTATTTGAGAGAGAGAGTGGGGACAGAGACAGAGAAGGAAAGAATCCTCAAGCAGACTCCCCACTGAGTGCAGAGACTGAAGCAGGGCTTGATCCCAGGACCCTGAGATCATGACCTGAACTGAAATCTAGACTCAGACACTTAACCAACTGAGCCACCCAGGCAATCCCCACCCCACTTACTTTATACTTTTAACAATAGATCTTACTAACACAAATAAGAGTGGCTGTTTCTCTGCATCATAATCTCAAAGCCGTCACTGGGTGCAATCTTTCTGATTTTTCTTTCACCGATAAGTGAAAAATGGTATGCCATCAATGTTTGAATCTGTATGTCTTGAATTGTGAATGATGTGAAACACTTTTCAGTTTTATGGTCTTACTAGTCATTCGTGGATTTCTCTTCTTGTGTCTTTTTTATGTCCTTTGCCCAGATTTTTAATGAGCTGTTATGTGACTTATTGCTGGGAGACAAGTCTCCATGGGTCTCTCATGTTTCTGCACATCTTTTAAAGAGAGGCTCCAACCACCTTTTTATTCCAGACTATCTTTCCAAGGACGTTTGTCTAGTGAACAGCCTTGAATATTGACAATGTCTCGTTTGGAAGCAGAGGACAGTTTTGCTCACTGCCCATTATAAAAGATTCAGATTCCTGAAGATGAGCTTTCTTGGCTATGTGCATGGGCAGCATCCAACAGGGCCCCCCAACGTGGTCTCTGTAGGACTTGGGAGATGAGGAGGAAGACATAAACATGATGCTCAGCTATTGCTATGCTATGAATAATAAAGTTTTTTTCTCTATGACCCAAGCATGTGTCTTTTGTCAGCATCCATGAAATGGCACAGGCTAATTTCCAAATAGATAAAACCTCAGATACTTTAAGTTATTAACATGATGATTTTTAGGATCCTATTATATATTAAATAGGGCAAAATGTGAGACCCTTTAAAGTTCTTTTCTTTTTTTTTTTTTGTAAGACCCTTCAAAGTTCTTGATTTTAAAACAGATTTTTGAGGGGGAAGGAGCAAAGGGAGAGGGAGAGAGAAAACTCCAAGCAGGTTCACCCAGTGCAGAGCCCAATGTGGGGATATCTCATGACCAAGAGATCATGACCTGAGCCAAAATCAAGAGTCAGACACTTAAATGACTGAGCCACTCAGGTGCCTTCAAAGTTCTTGATTTTTAAGATCTCATTATAAAGAAATGGGCCTATTACATGTAATGCAAATATTCCTCCTCTCACCATTTTGTTACTATTTTTTCTTTTCACTTGGATTATAACTTTGCGGGGGAGGAATGAGGGAAAGCAGTAGAATTTTAACTTTTAGGTAGCAATTTCACCAATTTTCCTTGAAAGCCTTCTGAGTTTTGCCTAGAAAGATATGTATATCCCACTCTAAGATGACTGCTTCCCAGTTTTCTTCTAAACACATTGTTTCATTTTTCTCTTTTTTCTAAGATTTTATTTATTTTTGAGAGAGAGAGAGAGAGAGAGCATGAGCAAGTGGGGAGAGGAAGAGAAAGAGGGACAAGCAGACTCCTGCTGAACAGGGAGCCTGATGTGGGGCTCAATCCCAGGACCCTGAGATCATGACCTGAGCAGAAGGCAGACGCCTAACCAACTGAGCCACCCAGGTACCCCATTTTTCTCTCTAACATTTAATTCTTAGATCCATCTGGAATTTTAGAGTAATGAGTAAGGAAGAGGTTTACCTTCATTTTCTCCCTCAGATGACCAGTGAATTAACCTATTATTAACTTATTAACTATTAACTTATTATTCCTTGTTTACTCAACTAATTTGCAGCATGAATTTACATATACTAAATTTCCATGCATATTTGAGTCTATTTTTGGACTTTATATTCCGTCCAGTTGATAGGTCAGGCAAATTCATTGTCAGTAACAGGCTGTTTTATTTATTTATTTTTTATTTTTTATTTTTTAAAAGATTTTATTTATTTATTTGTCAGAGAGAGAGAGGGAGAGAGAGTGAGCACAGGCAGACAGAATGGCAGGCAGAGGCAGAGGGAGAAGCAGGCTCCCTGACGAGCAAGGAGCCCGATGTGGGACTCGATCCCAGGACGCTGGGATCATGACCTGAGCCGAAGGCAGCTGCCCAACCAACTGAGCCACCCAGGCGTCCCTAACAGGCTGTTTTAATTATCAATGTTTGATAATACATATTAATATCTCAGGATTCTTTTTTTGAAGACTTAATTTTTTTTTAAAAAGCTTTTATTTATTTATTTGACAGAGGGAGACACAGCAAGAGAGGGAATACAAACAGGGGGAGTGGGAGAGGGAGAAGCAGGTTTCCCGCTGAGCAGGGAGCCCGATGCGGGGCTCGACCCCAGGACCTTGGGATTGTGACCTGAGCCCAAGGCAGATGCTTAAAGACTGAGCCATCCAGGCTCCCCTAAAGACTTAATTTTTTTGAAGCAGTTTCAGGTTCACAGCAAAACTGAAGGAAGGTACAGAGATTTCCCATATAGCTCTTGTCCCCTCAGCATTCTTCTTGTATAAACTTTCATGGTTTGTCTAGGTCACTTGTGAGAATCCAATGGCATTTTTATTGGAACCCCAATATCCGGCTCTCTTTTGATTCCTGCACATATGAAAGATTAGACCTTTTTGCTCTGTGTAGTTATGTGGCGGTCATGTGATTAGTCTGGCCAATAGCCAAGTGTGACATTTCTAGGCCAAAACATTTAATTGCTGGAATGTACTCACTCCTTAATTTTCCTGACACAGCCTCTGCAGATGATGTTTTTTCCAGATGGTAAAGCTCCAAGATGGCAGAGCTTGGAAAGTCTGGGTCCCTGAGCAACTGTATGCAGAGCCTCCTATCAGCCCACAATGGAAATGTAGCATGATTGAGAAAGAAATCTTTCTTGTGTTAGCCATGGGGGTTTCAGGGTAAATTTGTAACTGCAACAAATCTAGTCTGTTCTGACTAGAATAACCATTACATTTATAGATGAACCTAAGAGAGAACTGCTATATTCATAATACTAAAACTTCCCATTCAATAATAGGAGACGTCACTCTAATTAGATAAGTTTTCTTTTATATCCAACAAGACTTTAAAGTCTTTTTCATATATTTGTTGTTAATTTATTTCTAATTGTTACGTGTTTCTATCATAATTATGAATGGAATCTTCATTATATTTTGTTATCTTTTTCTTCACTATAGAAATAGCTTTAAAAAATTACACAAAAATACACGTTCACTCCAAAAACATGTATTGAACAATGAACTAAAACTAACACATAAAGTAAAAAAATCACACAAAAAAATCTCACAACAGTATACTAGTCATTATTAGTAGTTTGGCAATCATTTCTTCAGATATATATATATATATGTACACACACACACTAATGCATTTACATTTTCTAACTTGCAATTTGTACATAGGACAGTTACTGCTAATACATTAGGATTATAACAGGTACTTTCTTGAATTTTTATTGTTTCTAATGGCTTTTCAATTTGATCTCTTGGGTTTTCTAGGTATATCATCACATCTATGCAAACAAAGACAACTGTGACTCCTTTCAAATGTTTATACTCTTTTATTCTATTAATTTGCACTGGCTAAGATTTCAAGAACAATAAAAGTAATAGTGGTGACAGTGAACATTCTTGTCTTATTCCTGACTTTACTGGAAGTGCAAAACTCTCATACTTGCTATACTGATTTTATCTTAGGCAATAGTTCATTGATATGAAAATAGTATATAAAACATTTCTCACCTTGACTTTATACTTAAATAATAGAGCGTAACATGGTTTTTACTTTGAAAGTTACTTTATTTAATTACATAAAATATTTCTAACATCATTTCATCTTTACCAGAAGCATAATAAAAAGGTATACCAACCTCTCCTGCTGTCAACTTCTCTCTTACATTTTTCCAATAGATGTCTTTATTTTCAGTGTTAGTGAAAAAAAGCAGCCACTCTGCAAAGTCTTCTTTTCTCATGAAACTCAAACCTTTAGAAAACTGAATGAATTCCATTTCTTGGACCTCCGTTTGTAAATTCTCCATAAATCTAAATGTTAAAATACAAAATTGATGAAGGAGCTAGTAGAATGTAACCTTAATATTGTAAATATAACTGCAAAGCACCTTCAGCACTACCTACTGGATTGGCTGGTCTCTTGAAATGTTGAGTCAAACAAAGTATTAGTGCTGTGCAAGGGGTAGGGGAGTGGAGGATGCAGGGAAGCTGATTAAGTCCAATACTTGCCTCAATCTGTCACTCCCTATACTCAATTTGTTTATGCAAATTATACTTGGCAACCTACATTCTGATAAAGACTTACAAAATGATGTAAAATGTTGCTTTGATGCATCTATAACATTTTTTTTCCCAACACAGAAAAATTACCCATAATCAGAGAAACTTAACATTCAGTTGTGCTACTATTTTTAGAATGTTAATTATAATTAACAGCTCCTAATATTTTTCAGATACCAAAGTTGATTAATGTAGTCAACGACTTTGCATCAAAAGCTTAGATTTACCTAAAAATATTTATAATCATTTGGATAATAACATATGAATAAATGACTCAGCATTCTTTTAAAAATAAAAACACGTCACTCTGATCAAACTGTCACCAACAGCTCGCTGAGAAAACGCCCTGATAAAGGACATCAGATTAAAAAAAAACCTCCTTTGAACAAGAACTCAGATATGCTGCATATGATTTATTTATAACCTAAATCATATGAAAAGTCTTATTATCTCCCTGTGTTTTAACATGTTGCAGATAGCTTTATTCACCTCTCTACATGTTAAAAATCTGTCATGTCAAAATTCAATGGAATTATATACATGGGGTGAAAAATTGGTCTATGGCAGTTCAATGGGAGAAAAACTGCCACTGTTCAAAACTACTTGCTTTCAGCTCTACATTTATCTCATAAATCTTAAAAGCATGAAGGGGGAGTTTGATTTTAGGCTTCTATCTGTGTGATAGGTAACACTCTGTTCCCTACAACATCTTCTGAATGTACTAGGTACACAGATTCATCAATGCCATGTGTCTTTCTGAGTCAAGGCAGAGGTTTACCTAAAATAAGAAGCATTTCCAATTTGGGCTGATAGATCGATGAAACCTTTTACTGATATGCCTTGTCCTTTGTTAGTATTACTGAGTTTTATTATACTGTGTACTGAGAAAATTCAACTTCATAGTATTGTTAAAAAAATGCTTTACTTGCAAATGAATGTACAGTAAATTTAGGAAAGTAGAAAATACGATATAAACATATTACTAACTCATTCCTTTCCTTTTTCTTTTTCTTCAGGCCCTGAAGTTGAAATATTATAAATTTAACTGCTGTTAAACTATACATGGTCTGGTTTAAGCTACTTTCATCTTACTAATTATACTACTTCTGAAGAACACAAGTATATTTTTGGAAAACCATCTTTCCTAACTCTAAAATTATAGATCTCTTTATGACTTGAAAATCCTGGAACATGATTACTGGACATAAATATATCAGTTGAAGAATTTGTTGTAAATAGAGCCACCAGATACATCCTGAACAAATTAAATAGTTTATAAATTAGTGGATTAATTGGGAACAATGGGAAAAAAAATCTGCTTTTCCTTATCTTTTTTTTTTTTTAATTTTTTTTAGGTCACAGGGTGCTGGAACTGGCTTCTGCAGCTCTGAGAATCCATTGCGCACATGTTTTCCCACCTCTATTTCAGGTACAGCAGCTTGAAATTGGCTTGGTAGAGTATTTACATTACTCATTGGCAAATGCAACAAATCAGGCTGTTCTTCCTGAGAGCAGATTGTTAAACATATTTATTAGCACACCATAGCTTATAGACATCTTTGAATTTATAAAAACTCCTCATGAATTTAGAACATCTTCAACTAATTGGAATTTTAGAATTATAGTACCTTAGGAACATGGCACATACACACACTGTCTCCAGTTACATACCAATCAATTCTCAGCGAAAAAGATTTGAAAACTAGCGGATGAGCTCCCCACAACAAAGGATAAAAGGACCACACTGTAGTCTCTGTAAAAACCCCACCCCAGGAGAACCAGTAAGGAGGGATCTCACAAATAAGCCGGGTATCCCTGAGGAGTAACGGTCCTACTCTACATCAGGCACCCCAACCTCTGGCACCCACACTGCAGACAAAAGCTCCCAAAATGTGTGGCTCTGAAAGCCAACAGGGGAAACATACACAGTAGGAAAAGAAATGTAGAAGAAAAGACCCTAAAGAGAAAGGAAAGAAAAAAGGAAAAGAGAGACTCGAAAAACATAGAGGTAGTGAAGGAGAATCAGTAAGGGCTACCAATAGCTACCTGAGGAGCATTTTTTTCCCCCTGAGATATATATATCCTGGAAAGAAATGGGTTTTTCACAATTAAATGACCTCTTGATTTCATAACAATGAGTAAACACTGAAATTCCAGCAGACAGAGCTTAAATTATACTTTAGTTTTTATTTAAATGGCTAAGAGCTATTTCAGTCTTTTGACGAATTGTAAAAAACCAACCAAACTGACACAAAAATCAATAACCCAAACAAATCACAAATCTATCCAGATACTCTCTCATTAACTGGTAAGTTTCTATTGACATGTGGTAGTATCTACCTAATGTGTCTTCTATCCCTCTGGTCACCTGGTCTAGTGCTAGTTCCCTGAAAGCGCATCCACTGTACCTAACCACCTACCAGGGAACTGTGGGACTAATTCTTTCAGAAACTTTGTGACCATTTAAATCTTTTAAGAGAAACCTGGGTCTGAATTTCTAAGATATTTAACTCTGGACCAAGTCCCTTATTAATCTCATCAAATTTCAGCTGTAAAAAGGGAAGACTAAGGATAGGTGAAATAATATATATGAAATACTCAGATAAGTATCAGGCATGTAGTGATGGCATTGAGGATGCAGGATGCAGGTGACCACCCTTCCTTTTCATCCTCACTCAAGCCAAGAATTAGCTACTATTGCTTCAGCTCCCTGGGGCTGTTGAAGGACTTCTTCAAGGGCGGCCTGAAGAAAATCATACAATTGCTACAGTGACAACAGCAGAAATTAATGGTCTACACCTGTAACTGGATCCTCAACCCTGCCAACACCCTGCTGCGAGGCCAGGGAGCTCTCTTTTTTATTTCACATGGTGGCTATTTCAATTTGTTTACATTCTCTACAAATCTATCCCACTGGCTTTCTATTTGTCCTCCGCAGATGACTTGCCCCAGCTTCTCAGAGAAATTAGAGGTCACTGCTTAGGAAATTCTCTCATTTTCTTGCTATCACTCTAGGAATGTAACAGTAGGCATTCCCATTCTTTCCACCTCCAATCTCTTTTCTGTCCTAGTGAAAGGAGGAGTCCCTTTTCCTCTTGAGGGCTACCTGTGCACTTAATTCCACCTATATTCCTCTATTTCTTCCTTCTCTGGGGCCTTGCTCCTCTGGTGACTCCATTCACTCCTGCATTGTCTTTCCTTCTTCAAATCACGTAAACATGTGGGGGGAAACCTTTCTTACATTCCCTTCCCGCTACTGCCCCCTCTCTTCCTTTGCTCTAATTAGTCTCCTTCAAAGAATTACCTGTGTTTCTTTCTCCACTCACCCCTCACTCACTTCTCAACCCACTGCAGTCTGCCTTTTGCTCCCACTGACCACATCCACCCTACATTCATAATTTTTTTTTCTTAAACTTATTCTTGTGTTCTCTAGTTCAGTGAATAGGTATCACATGTGTCATTGGCTCCACTCAGAAATCAGGCAATAGCTTAGATTTCTCCTCATTTACTCTTCATCCAGTCACCAATACTATTAAGTCCCTTTTCTGAAGTAATCCCTCGGATTCCTCCACTTTCCTTCTGTTTCCCGCTGCCACCACGTTGGTCTAATTATTATCCTTTCTTCTCTATTAATACAACAGTCTCTACCAGATCTCCTTGCCTTTTGTTTGATTTCCTTAGCCAATCTGCTGGATCTGATGATCACCCTACTCCCCTGCTTCAAGGCCTTCACGTCACTCTTGTTCTTGGCATGGCACAAAAGCCTTTACAACTGTGCTCGTGTTGACCCTCCCACCTTCATCTCTCACATTGCTGGTTAAGTCACAATGAACTTCTAGTTTCTGAATCTGCCATGTCTTCTCTTGCGTTCAGACATATTACCTATTAGTAATCATTGGGTTCACACTAACACTGGCTTGATAATTCTTTCCAATATTATGCAAATATGGGTTCATTTCCTGAGAAATTAAAAACATGAAGTATCTGAACAGAGCAGTAGTCTATCTACATTATGTCAGTTAAATTATTCTGTGGAATGACAATAAACTTAAAAAAATTCTGAGAATTTTTTTCTAACTTAAATTCACTGTGTATTGGCAGTATGACATAATGGACCTATCTAGTACCAGATATTCTGTATATTGTCAGTCCATAATCAGAATTTTGGACCAAAGACTTAGATAAAAACATCAATATTTTGTAAAGTAAAATTTGACCCAGAGATTTAAAATTATTTGTTTTATTGGACTGTAAAACAGATTTTTATTTATTTATTTATTTATTTTTTAAAAAAGATTTTTACTTATTTATTTGACATACAGAGATCACAAGTAGGCAGAGAGGCAGGCAGAGCGAGAGAGGAGGAAGCAGACTCCCCGCAGAGCAGAGAGCCCGACTCAGGGCTCGATCCCAAGACCCTGGGATCATCATGACCTGAGTCGAAGGCAGAGGCTTTAACCCACTGAGCCACCCAGGTGCCTCCAAACAGATTTTTAAATAATGGCTTTTTCCTTAGTGTAAAGTTACTTTGGAATGTTTCTGTCCCAGAAACTTCTAAGTTCTTTTGTATGAAGAATTTAAATTTATAATTTAAGAAATTATTATTATTCATGAAACAAAATCTGGAATATTGATTGGTTAAATTTGACATCAATACCTTTTCCTATTGATAAAAAAACAACAAAATGGAATGTTTTGCTAAAAGAGTCACTTAAAATGGAGTCGGGAGGACAATGAAGAAGTAGGGCCTATGCATATTTCCTGTCTCAATCCTCAGAAAAAAGCTAAACTTGGATTGTTGCCAAACTGCAAACATCCTGGATGAACATCTGCTGTATGCAAGAATGGACTCAAATGGACTTTTTGCCTAGCACTAATCTTAGCAACCGATCACGTACAGAAAAGTGTCACTAAAACCCTGCCAGTACCAATCATAAAAAAACAACTTATGTAATGTGCCTAAAATTCCTCCTTGCCTTTAAAAATCCCAAGCTCCTCTAGGTCTTTAAAGCACAACCTGGATTGCTGCCTTAATTTCTGTCCTCTGAACTGTGATTCCCAAGATCCCAAATAAATGCTTTTTTCCCCTTACAGTCTTTCCTTTTTTTATTTGACATAAAAAATAGTTGCTTTGTAACTTTGTATTTGTTGGTTTAATTACATTACTAGTATATTTCCAGAAGACTTTATAAGGCTAAGGAACCTTCATAAAACTGATATAACTTCTCAATTACTACTGAATTTTCAAATACAAAATTGGTAATGAAGGTGGAAACAACTTTGCCACTTGTGATGAAAAATACAAGTGGTGTGTAGTTTTCTCTTCTAAATGAAAAAAATCCTTCTCTCTGAATTTTAAAGCAGTCAGTCCTTGCGGAAAAAGAGGAACATGCTATAATTTTATTTTAGTTCTCATTTCTTTCTTTAGAAGTTGGATTAAAGAGCCTTCAGGAAAAGAGACCGAGGAAACTCTAAGCTGAAGAAGTGTCTTGACCAAGAGAGCTGGGGAAATGCAAACAGAGAAAAAAGCCAGAGAAAAAGAATTCCCTAAGGAGAGAGATCTGGGAGCTGGGAAACAAAGCTCCCAGAAACTCAAAATAATTTAAGTAAAAAGAGTTGGGCACATATTCTGAGTGCCTACTATGTGTTACACATTGTGTGTACTTTAATATGTTATCTCAGATCAACCTCAGACTTCTTATGTGGGGGGACAGAATATTAACATAAATAAGAGTAGAAAGAACAGAATAAAGATTAAGAAGGGAGAAATATGCATGAATTAGAGATCTGCTCTTTTCCTTTATTAGACTGCAAAATTGTTATAATTTATAATTTTTAAATTTACTTTTATATTTACTTATAACTCCCTAAAATGGGCAGGACAAGTATCATTTTATAAATTTTTACAGGGCACCTGGGTGGCTCAATTAGTTAAGTGGTTGCCCTTGGCTTAGGTCATGATCCCAGAGTCCTGGGATGGAGCTTGCACTGAGCTCCTTGCTCAGCGGAGAGCCTGCTTCTCTCTCTCTTGCTCCCTTTGCTTGTGCTCTGTCAAATAAATAAAATCTTAGAAAAAATTAATTTTTACGAAGAATAAAAAAGGTACATGATTTGCCCAAGATCATACAGCTATATAAATGCTAAACAGTGTAACTAGGAATTATACCTATTCCTATCCCAAGTCCAGTGCTTTTTCCCTTTTATATTGGTACCAACTTCTAGATTTTTGGTATTTGTTAGTACTTGTACTTGCCTATTAAAGCATTAAGTGGTTTTAAAGAAAAAGAAGCGGAATTTTAGAAGCTGAAGTGAAGTATGCCTTCATGCTTAAAACTGTGATTTTAGTTGTTCTCTGCTGATAGATGCTATAAAAAAGCAGCCTGTGAAATTTGAAGTTTGTTGCTGGTCTTACTGTAACATTAAGAATGTAAGTCCTTTTATTACACAGTGTCTTTTTTATAGGAACCCATGGGAAACTTTCTTTCTGGCCCTATGAGGAATAATGCCCGCTCTCCCCCCTTACGTGGAATCCGTGCTAACTTAGGGATGTAGTGAATTGTGTAACTGATCATGTATGCTTTTTTGTATTGTCTGTCAGAAAGTCCAGAGTCAAATTTGTGGTTTCTTCTCAGCAAGCACATAGAATCTCGTGATTTGTACTTTGTGTACTAGCCTATTTACTGACTCCATTTTATGATACTGCCATAGCTTTTCTTCTCTTCTTCCTTCTTACCTGCTTCTGATAAGCCACTTATTTATATTCTCTTACAAGTGCCAATTTACAGTTGGGCTCTTGTTTAGAAAAAGAAGTTATATACAAATCAACATATTAAAATTATGCATTAATCAACACCTTAATTATATATAATCACATAATAAATTAACATATATATGTACATATGTAAACTTATTAAGTAGTATTGGGCACAGTCATCTCAGAAATGAAGAAATGGACTGCACTGGAGACTCAGGTTAACCGCTTGTTCATCAAATCCCACTTAATAAACTGTGAAGTTCTGCATTTGAATCCAGGTCTGTCTAAATCACAAATACGTGTTTTTCAAAATACTGTTTCTCTAAATGAGAAGCTAATAGCTGTAGGCAAATACTGTAAGTAGCTACCACAAAAGCTGTAATTTTGTGTCACCTTCCTTGCCTTTTCTTGATACTAATAAGCTGTATCTCCTAAAATAATTTCCCTTATTAGAGAAGTTGTAAGAAGGTGGCTGAGACCAAGGACAAACATCTCTTTTATAAGGAAGAGGACATATTACACTCCCATAAAAACCAGACTCAAAGCTCCAAATAACAAAGACCACAAAAATTTTTGTGGAATTTTAATCATTAATATGGTCAGTATGTTGGTGAAAACTTTTTAGAAACGTTATACATACACAGAGGCTATTTTCTGTTACTTTATGACATGCAAAATTTTAAAGACATTTTATGATTATCCATTCTAGCTAGTATAATAATAATTTTAACTTTAGGAGAACTTTGCTCTGTCCAAGAGACAAGTTCTTAAAAAAACGCATTTAAAGCATTTGTTAATTGGATCTTTTTAAACTGCATGATGGCATGACAAATTTCACTGAGTCCATTATTTACAGAAATGCTAGTAAAAACTTTTTTAAAGTAAGAATTTTAAATAAAATTATCCCTTTAAAGAAAATTAAAGTTAGCACAACTGTAAACATTAACTAGGTTAGGGAATCCTAAAATGAAGGGGGAGTAGTGTATTAGTATGAACAAGTATAGTTGATGATAATGGCTTTGCTTGGTTCTAAATCATGGTATTTATTTTAAAACTTAAAGACAGTAAGTTAAGTTAAGTAAGTTAGTTAGTTAAGTAAGTAAGTAAGTTAAGTTAAGACAGTAATATTTTTCAAGTATATAAGAAGAGACATTTTAAAAAATTTTGTGGAGAAAAACTGTTCTAGAGAGGTTAAAATGACTTACTGGAGTTTAGCTATGGGGTACACACTGTGATTGGACATAATTCAGAAACTTGGGTCTTCACACAGTCTACCTCATCATTCCTTAATCACTAAGCCCTACAATTTCATCTCCTAAATACGTCTTAAAAACTCTATTTCAAAATCCTTATTGCCACTAAACCAGTTCAAGGCTCTCATCATTTCTTATTTGGAATATCTGAATGGGCTTCTTTCTCATAAAATCTATCCTTTATTCTGCTGCCAAAATGTCAGGCACATCTGACCAGGTATCCTTCATGCATCATTCTTCAGCACCTCCCACTGTTAACTCAAGCTTGATCTTTTGGAGTATGAAATCTTCTGCAGGCAAGTACACACTTTTCCAGCCTCTGTTCTTAACTTTATCATACCACCTTACGTCTATTACTCTAGACTTAACTGCTTATAATTCCCTTTACAAACCAGACATTTTCATGCCTCTAGGTCTTTTCTCATGTTGTTGTCTTTTCCTCAGATGCTTTCTCGTCCACACATTTCTGCCTGGGTAATTTCTGCTCACATGTCAAGACTCAGCTTAGGTGCCATTTCCTTCAGAAATTTGCATTTACCTTCGAAATTCCCTATAATGAAGTTTTCTTTCTCCTCTTTTTCCAAAGAAATATATCTGAAGGGTTGTGGTAATTTCAGGTTCTTTCACTGTTGATTCCTATAAAAAATGATATAATAATTTCAAGTAATTATAACCAAGAACAAAAATAGACCCTGTAGCCTGGACCTCTTTAGGATAATATCCATGAAAGATTCTTCTAACAATAACAACAAAGGCAGAAGAATCCTATCTGTTACTTTGCATAATACTATTCTATAACTGTCTCTGTTCAAGCAAGAGAAAAATGAGGGCTAAAATACTCAAGATGGACTTCAGCAGTAAACAAAATCTTAAATCAATCCAAAAAGAGAGCTTTAGAATAGTGAAATATTATTTCAAATGTGATCTCAAGGTGTTTTTTAATAAGACTATTTATTTATCTGACACAGAGAGAGAAAGGGCACAAGCAGGGGGAGCGGCAGGCAGAGGGAGAGGGAGAAGCAGACCTCCCCCCAGGCTGAGCAGGGAGCCTGATGTGGGGCTTGATCCCAGGACCCTGGAATTGTGACCTGGGCTGAAGGCAGACGCTTAACTGACTGATGCAATGCCTGCAGCTCTGAAGGACAAAGATAAATTAGTTCAGATGAGGTGGGAAAGTATCAAGGAGAATTTCATTTGTGCTCTACCACAGCAATGAGAAGATCTGGATAGACCATGAGCATGAGCAAAAGAAAACAGCATGATAACTAAGCAAAGGCACCATAGCAAGAAATAGAACAAATCCACAAAAGACAAAAAACACCCAGTCTAGAACACGTAATGCAAGGAATAATGTATGACCCCATAAATGCTTTATTTATATTAAAAATTTTTTCTATTTCGAGATAGTTGTATATTTACATACAACTGTACAAAATAATACAGAAAGATCTCTTGTACCCTTTACTCAGTTTCCTCCAATGGTGACTGGTGACATCTTATAAAACAATGTAACTTGACACAGTCAACACATAGAAGAACATTTCCTTCACTGCAACAATTCTTTATTTGCTCTTACACAACACTGATTTCTCTCCCACCCACCCTCTCTTTGACCTCTGGCAACCGCTAATTGACTTTCTTTTCCCATAATTTCGTTATTTCAAAATGTTATATAAATAGAACCAAATATTATGTAACTTTATATTACATAATTACAATACAATTACAATACATATTATGTATTGGCATTTTTTGTTTAGCACAATTCTCTGGTTACTCATTCAGGCTGTTGCTGTATCAATGGTTTGTTCCATTGTATGGATTACCAGTTTAACCATTCACTTGTTGAAGGATATCTGGGTTGTTTCCAGTTTTTGGCTATTATAAATAAAGCTGCTAAAAACATCTGTGGACAGGATTTAGTATGAACACAGTTTTTCATTTCTCTAGGACTGATGCCGAGGACTGTATTACTGTTTTATCACAGGGGCAGTATCATTGTACTTTCCCACTGGTAGTAGATGGGTGATCCAGTTTCTCCACATCTTGTAGTCATTTGATATTGTCAATTATTTTATTTTTGTCATTTGATGGGTTTGTTAATTGGCACTGTCCTATGATTAATGGTGTTGAGCATCTTTTCATGTGGTTGTTGGCTATTTGTTTATATCCTTTGGGAAAATGTCTGTTCAAGTCCTTCACCTAGTTTTTAACTGGGTTGTCTTCTTTTCTTTAAGTCTTTAAGTTCCAGTTAAACATATAGTGTAATATTAGTTTCAGGGGTACAATATAGTGATTCAACACTTCCATACATTACCTGGTGGCCATCGCAACAAGTGCACTCCTTAGTCCCATCACCTATTTAGCTCATCCACCCATTCACCACCCTTCTGCTAACTATCAGTTTGTTCTCCATAGCTAAGAGTCTATTTTATGGCTTGCCTTTCTTTTTTCTTCTCCATGTTCACTTGTTACATTTTGTTTCTCAAATTCCACATGTGAGCAAAATCATATGGTATTTGTCTTTCTCTGACTCAATGTTGCTTAGCATAATACTCTTTAGCTCCATCCATGTCATTTTAAATGACAGGATTTCATTCTTTATGGCTGAGTAATATTTGCCCACTTGATATGTTTTCCTGCTTTGTTGAAGATTAACCAATTAATCTTCAATTGACCCTATAGTTGTGGGTTCATTTCTGAGTTTTCCACTCTGTTACACTTAACTGTGTGTGCCAGTATCATACTGTTTTGATCACTACAGCTTTATAACATAACTTGAAGTCTGGGATTCTGATGCCTCCAGTTTTTTTCTTTTTCAAGGTTGTTTTGGCTATTCTGTGTCTTTTATGGTTCCATACAAATTTTAGGATGGTTTGTTCTAGTTCTGTGAAAAATGCTGTTGGTATTTTGATAGGGATTGCATTAAATGCGTAGATTGCTTTGGGTAGTATAGACATTTTAACAGTAGTTGTTCTTCTAATCCATGAACATGGAATGTCTTTCCATTTCTTTGTGTCATCTTCATATTTCATCAGTGTTTTATAGTTTTCAGAGTACAGGTCCTTTACCTTTTGAGTTAGGTTTATTCCTAGATATTTGATTGTTTTTGGTGCATGTGTACATGGGATTGATTCCTTAGTTTCTCTTCCTGCTGCTTCATTATTGGTGTATAGAAATGCAACAGATTTCTGTACACTGATTTTGTATCCTCTGACTTTACTGAATTCGTTTACCAGTTTCAGCAATCTCTTGACAGAGTTTTTTGGGTTTTCTATGTAAGCTATCATGTCATCTGCAGAAAGTGGAAGTTTAACTCCTTCCTTGCCAATTTAGATGCCTTTTATTTATTTTTTTTTGTCTGATTGCTATGGCTAAAAGTTTTAGTACTATGTTAAATAACAGTGTTGAGAGTAGACATCCCTATCTTGTTCCTATCTGTAGAAGAAAAGCTCTCAGTTTCCCCCCATTTAGGATAATATCAGCTGTTTATTTTTCATATATGGCATTTATTATGTTGAGGTATATTCCCTCTAAACCTACTTTGTTGAGGGTTTTTATCATGAACGTTGTTGTACTTTGTCAAATGCTTTTTCTGTATCTACTGAAATGATCAAATGGTTATTATCCTTTCTTTCATTAATGTGATGTATCACAACTGACATGCAAACACTGAACCACCCTTGTAAATTAGGAATAAATCTTAGTTGATTGTGGTGAATGATTTTTTTTTTTTTTTTTTTTGGTGAATGATTTTTTTTTTTAACGTATTGCTGGATTTGGTATGCTACTATTTTATTGAGAATTTCTGCATTTATGTTCATCAGGGATATTGGCCCATAGTTCTCTTTTTTACTGGTGACTTGTCTGGTTTTGGTATCAGGGTAATGCTGGACTCATAGTATGAATCTGAAAGTTTTCCTTCCTCTTCTATTTTTTGGAATAGTTTGAGAAGAATAGGTATTAACTCTCCTTGAAATGTCTGGCAGAATTCGCCTATGAAGCCACCTGGTCCTAGACTTTTGTTTGTTAACTACTGGTTCAATTTCTTTGCTGGTTATTGGTCTGTTCATTTTCTATTTCTTCCTGTTTCAGTTTTGGTAATTTATATGTTTCTAGGAATTTAACCATTTCTTCCAGGTTGTCCAATTTGTTGGCATTGGGTTCTCTTTCTGTTGTTGAGTTGTAGGAGTTCTTTATCTTTCTTGATAATAGATAGACCCTTATAAGGTCTGTAATTTGCAAATATCTTCTACCACTCTGTAGGCTGTCTTTTTAATTTTTTTTTTTAAAGATTTTATTTATTCATTTGACAGACAGAGATCACAAGTAGGCAGAGAGGCAGGCAGATAGAGAGGAAGGGAAGCAGGCTCCCTGCTGAGCAGAGAGCCCGACATGGGGCTTGATCCCAGGACCCTGAGATAATGACCTGAGCTGAAGGCAGAGGCTTTAACCCACTGAGCCACCCAGGCACCTCTGTCTTTTTAATTTTTGATAGGGTCCTTTGATACACAAAAGTTTTTAACTGTAATGAAGTTCAATACATCAATTTTTCATCTACTGCTTATGCTTTTGGTGTCATAAGAAATCAATGCCAAATCCAATGCCATGAAGCATTTCCCCTTTCAAGAAATACTTCTAAGAGTTTTATAGTTGTAGCTTTTATATTTAAGTCTGATTGATTTCAGTTAACTTTTGTATATGGTATGAGGTAGAAGTCCAACCTCACTCTTTTACATGTGGCTATCCAGTTGTCCCAGCACCATATGTTGAAGAGACTTAGGCAAAAGAAGTCATTATTTACGTGTTTTGAAAACAGCTTTTTTTTTCTTTTTAAAGGGGGTCACTTGCCATAACCAATATAGGTCTGTCATAATTTTTACTAGCTATTGCACTGTATGTGCCATTGAGCAGGTATGTATACACACAAACATTTTTTCAAGATAGCAAGCACGGTTACCTTATTTCTTCTTTATTAACATGCACCCCCCCCACTCTTGTGTTTGTCACAGAAAAGAGCAAAAAGGTCTGAATTTTCCCATGCCTATTAGCAGTAGGAAAATTCCTGCATATGACATGTGAGCTAGTCAAGGTCGCTAGCATAATATAATGAATGTGCTGATATTTAGATTGTTTCCAAATTTTTTTTTTACTATAAACACTGTTGTGAGATATACTGTTATACACTTATCTTTGTACACTAGTCACTATAAATTATTATTCATTTGCACCTAAACTTTGTTAGATGTCTTTACAATTTACATTGCCAATCAACAGTACAGAAGAATGCCCGTTCCCTCACATCTTGGAGAACACTAAAGATTATCAAACTTATCTTTGCCAATCTGGTAAGAAATAAAACAAAACAAATCACTATTATTTCAACTTGCATTTCCTTGATTATTCATATTTATTGGTCATTTGTATTTCTTCTGCTAACTGCCCCTTCATGAACTTTGCCTACTTTTCTATTGAGATGTTAAGTCATTTTAAAAAAGTCACAGTAGTCAAGTTTACTACAATTTTCTTTTACAGCTTTTGGAACAGGACTACATTGCTTAGCTCAATAATATAAAAACATTTACCCACTTTTTCTTTTCAAATCAGGTATAACTGACATGCAATACTACATTAGT